TTGTTCCAGATACTAAGATAAATATGAATCAGCGTTTATGCTTAGTTTTGTTGAATGAATTCAACTATCTCCCATGATCTAGAGTAGTGTCTCTTGCTCTCGATAGAAGAGGAAAGCTAGGGTTCATCAATGGAGGAATTGAAGCACCCGAGCCTTCAACCTAAGCATACGAAGTATGGTTGTCCAAGGACCAACAAGTCATGTCAATGCTTCTTAACTCAATAGAGAAACATATCGCTGAAATCTTCAGCTATTCCGAGTCCTCACACAACCTGTGGAAATATGTGAAGGACGTGTACGGGAATCAAAATAATTATGCACGAGTGTTTCAGCTAAATAGGGACATTGCCAATCTTCAACAAGATGGAAAAACCTTTGTGCATCACTTGGGAAGTCTCAAGACTATGTGGAATGAGTTAGATGTTTATTTACTTCACATCATTGATGCTGCAGTTCTTCTGAAAAAGAGCTGAAGAAGATAAGATATGTCAGCTGCTTGCGAGTTTGAACTCGGACTAAAAGGATCTCAGGAGTCACATCTTGATAAATGTTAAACTTCCTTCCTTCAAAACGGTGTGTACCACGGTTCAACATGAGGAAGCTCGAAGAAGAGTGATGAACTTGGAGAAGAATTCCAAGATTTTTAAGTCAAAAGTCTATGCTGCCAAACATAAACCCTCAGACAGCAAGCCTTATTAGGGTAAAAATCCACACTTCAAGTGCAGTTACTGTGACGCGGCAGGTCACGTGGAGGAAATGTGCTGGATTTTGCACCCTGAACTAAAACATAAGTTCAACAAGGATCACATAATGATTCCTTCAAATCAATTCCACACTGGCTTATACAAACCTCAGCATGCAGCAAATCATAGCTATACCTTATTCCCTGAGAGCATTCAGGACTTCACTTCAAATCTTGTCTCGCTCATAAATGACTTTGCAATATACATGCAAACCAAGGGACATAGAGAAGCTATAGAAAGGTCAAGGGATACAACTGAAAATCCCATAGTGCTACTGGGACAATTCGTAGGTTTCCTTGCTGAAAATGAAAATATACCAAAAAGCAAAGCTCCAGGTATTTTTAGTGCATTCTCGACTACTCTTCACACTGGTATTGAACATGATTGTTGGATTATCGACTCAGGAGCCACTGACCATATAACAAACAAAGCCTTAAACTTACACAGTTTTCAAACTTTGTCAAAACCCTCTTATATGTCAGTTGCTAATGGAAAAAATGCCATGGTTTTTGGCGTGGGAAAAGTAAAGTTGCTTTCAAACAACCTTGAGTCTACTGCATTGTTTGTTCCTCCCTTTCCTTTTCAACTTCTGTCAATAGGAAAGATCACTAGAACCCTAAATTGTCTTGTCACTTTTTCACCAAGCAGTGTTGTGTTTCAGGATTCTCTCACCAAGAAGACGATTGGTGAAGGGTTCTTCCTTAATGGTCTTTACTATCTATGCAAGGAACCTCGTCTAGTCAAAGCTTTCCAAGTTGATTCAATTCCTTCCAAGGACCAACAAATCTGGCATCAAAGATTAGCCCATCCATCAGAGACTGTTTTGCTTAAACTCTTTCCCAAAATGTATCAATCATCTATAATGTGTGATACATGTTAGTTTTCCAAGTTTACTAGGCTCCCTTTTAGCTCTTTAATGTCTAGGGCTAGCAAATGTTTTGAACTTGTACACTCCGATGTTAGTTGTCTAACTATTGAATCTTTTGATGGATATAAATATTTTTTTATCTTTGTGGATGATTTTTCTAGAACAACATGGCTATATATGTTTAAAAAAAAAAGAATGTCTTCACTATGTTCAAAGACTTTCATCAACTTATCATAATTCAATTTCAGTCAATTATTCAGAACCTAAGAACCGATAATGGCACTGAGTTCTTATCCAACAATATAAGTCAATATTTGAGCTCTCATGGTATTGTTCACCAGACAAGTTGTGTGGGAACTCCACAACAAAATGGGATCTCTGAAAGAAAGAACAGGGATTTACTTGAGAAGACTCGTGCATTGATGTTGCATATGAACATACCATGAAATTTTGGTCATACGCCATTCTCATTGCAACCTATTTAATCAATAGATTGCCTAGTCGTGTTTTAGAGTTTAAGTCTCCTTATGAAACTCTTAAAGGAAAACATATAACTTTATGACATTTGAGAGTCTTTGGCTGCACGTGCTTTGTTCATGTTCAAGCATTGCACAGTGACAAACTGGATGCTAGGGCTACAAAGTGTGTTTTCATGGGATATTCATCCACCCAAAAAGGTTACAAATGTCTAGAGATGTAAGATTTGAGGAAACAGTTCCCTATTTCTCCAAGAAGACTGCTTACTCCTGAGAGGGGAGCTAATATGTGATTTATTCCCTTTGCCTGCGTGCATTGATCACTTAGTGCACTTGGATCCAGAAGCCACTAGCAATCATGAACAAGCAGATATTATGAGTGAAACTACTCATGAGTCTTCTCAACCAAGAAACTTGGATGATGGTACTGAGTCTACTTAAGATGAAAGTCACGAAGAGGCTCCTACTTTACCTCCTACAAGGTGTAATCCTGCGCATGCTCGACAACCTCCAACAAGGCTCTGAGACTATGTCACCTTTGCTTCCAAACACCCCAACACTGAGGTGCTGAGTTATAGTCATGTTCACCCTAATCATGCCACATTCCTGGCTGAAATCTCTCATCACATTGAACCACGAACCTTTGAAGAGGCTCAACTAATTCCTGAGTGGATAAATACAATGAAGGATGAACTTCATGCCTTGAAAAACAATCAAACATGGAGCATTGTGAAGTTACCACTAGGGAAAAAGGCTATTGGGAGTAGATGGATTTATAAGACAAAATTCAAGGCTGATGGATCAATTGAATGTCACAAGGCTAGATTAGTTGCACGTGGTTTCACTTAAACGTTTGGGGTAGACTACAAGGAGACATTTGCTCTAGTAGCCAAAATGAACTCCGTTAGGGTTCTTCTTTCAGTGGCTGTGAATTGTGGCTGGCCATTGTATCAAATGGATGTAAAAAATGCATTCCTTCATGGGGATTTACAAGAGGAAGTATATATGCAACTTCTACTAGGTTCTTCTCAAGGTAAAAATGATATGGTGTGTCGATTGCACAAAGCAATTTATGGTTTGAAACAATCTCCACTTGCATGGTAGGCCAAGTTGAGTTCAGTGTTGAAAGCTGCTAGTTTTGTTCGAAGTAATGCGGACTTATCCTTGTTCACTCGTAAAGGATCAGCTAGTATATTGGTGAATTATTTCACACCTTTGCCATAAAGGACCTTGGGAGACTAAAATACTTCCTTGGCATTGAAATGGCAACATCTCAAAAGGGTTTATTTTTAAATCAGCGCAAGTATGTTGTGGATCTTCTCACTGAGGCTAAATTACTTGATTGCAAGCCTGCTATCACTCCCCTTGATAGTAAGCTAAACCTTGATATGGATGGAGAACCTCTCACCAATGTGAGTCACTACCAAAGGTTAGTTGGAAAGCTTATATACCTTACCATAACCAGACCTGATATCACCTATAATGTTAGCCTGGTTAGCCTATTCATGCATGCACCATATGTGAAACACCTTCTCATTGTCAAAAGAATTCTACGTTACCTCAAAGGCTCTATTGGTAGAGGTATTCTTATGAAGAACAACCAATCCACTCAAATCAGTGGTTACATTGATGCAGATTGGGACGGAAATGCAATTGATAAGAAGTCTACCACTAGCTATTGTATGTTTGTTGGAGGAAACATCGTCGCATGGAAAAGCAAAAAACAGCAAGTTATTGCACGTTCTACTGCAGAGGCTGAATATCGTGCAATGGCATCAACATCATGTGAGTTAATATGGCTCAAATGGTTACTTTTAGACTTGAGATTCTCTAGTTCTACTCTAGTGTCACTCATGTCATGTGTGACAATCAAGCAGCCATGCATATCGCTGCTAACCTCGTGTTCCATGAAAGGACCAAAAATAAGGTGGACTATCACTACATTAGGGCACAAGTTCAATCCCAAGTTATTCAAACCATCTATACTCGCAGTCATGATCAACTGGCAGATGTGTTCACAAAAGCACTTCCTTTAGTTCCTTTTCAGCGTCTCCTTGACAAGCTTGGCTCGATCAATCTCCTCGATCCAGCTTGAGGGGGAGTATTAGACGATATGGGATGAGATATGGGATAAGGGGTGACTGATACCCATGCTGCCATGTTGCCAGATTTTATGTTTCCTTTTTCCATGGGATTCTCTATTAAGCCTAATCCCTTAATTTGAGGAAGATTGACATCTAGATGACTTGTTGATAGTTATGTGCTAGCTACTTGCTGCGCTCCCTTAATTTAAGGAGTGACATCTTTATGGGTTTACCGGGTTAGTAGGATTTGCCAAGGTAGGATTGCTTGTAACCTTCCACCTTATTATATATCCCCTCTTGTACATTCAGTCAATCTATGAAAAATACATTCACACAAACTTAAAACTTCCACAAGTAAGCATGGCAATTTAGCATGCCCTTGCCTCTATTAACACGATAAACGTAGTCCAATTTGAAATGAACCGTCTAGATGTAATTGGCTTGGTATGATAACTCCCTTTAGTCTTTTGCATCTATTTTCCCAAACTAGTCTGTCTTTGATTCGATCAATTCAATTTCCACATTTCACACCTGTTTTGGCTTGCTTAAAAAAGACAGCAGACTTGTAGCCGAAGAAACTTGTATTCTTGGTGTCTTACAAAAAGAAAATAAATTATTTGTTTCGAATCAAAGATATATTTATAGTTTAAATGGTTAAAAGCATGCAATAATAGTTCATGTTATTCATTCCCACAAGTCATGTGATCGATTCTCTATAACCCAAGCTTGAAAAATAAAAACCTCAACTTCTATAAATAACAAAGAGAATTACATTGTAATAATATAAACTGAGCTTGGTATACTTAAAAAAAAAAATAACACATATATATGGAGAAAGATCACACTGTAGTATTACATGCTATGCATTACACCGGCACGAATTCGAACTCATAAAACGATTCCTCTTGTGTTCACTAGGGTTACTATCACCCCTTTATTCTGGTTGGTAAAGCTAGAATTTCAACACCTACCTAGTTGAAATCAATGGGATATACGGGCTCTTTGTTAGGAAAAAAGAGCCCGAAATGCTTCTCGGTCGCCTCCCCTTGTTTTTCATTCTCATTAAACATGCTAAACACGTAAGTTTCGATGGGGTTTCCAGGCTTCTTTGGAGTCCCGCCCTTCACATGCTTTATCAAATTTGAGTTGTAAATTCTTGCATTCTCCTTCGTTGTCACTTGACCATCCCCACCGTCTGAGGGCCAACCACTCTCTGATACAACAATTTTCAAAGAGCCACCTTCAGCCTTCTCTAACGCTGAGTAAACTGCATCCAGAATTGCATCAAATAGGTTCTGATACTGAAGATCACCATCATTCACTGGAGCGGATGGGGATGTAAAAAGAGCATATTCAAGACTAATGTCACGACTTTGAATGTAACTAAAATACGGGTACATATTAACAAGTAACGGAGATTGATTCCCAACTAAGAACCCGATGATTGGATCAAGAAATGGCCGATAGTTTTGTCTGAAGGAACCTTTTGATGGAGGGTACGATTCTTCGAGGATTATAGGGTAAACTGCGGTAGAGACCTTAATTTGGTTTGCAAGCCCTGCCGTAGAAATAGCATTTTGAATTCTTTCCATTGCAGGGCCAACAAATGGCGCATCTGGACCTGTGGCATTTATTTCATTTCCGACTGCAATATACTTAAATTTGACATCGTTGTAGTTTACAACATTATTTTGGACCCAATCATTTGCACTGTCCTGACTAGAAGAAATGTCTTGAAGGCGTTCGTTTTCTACACCAAGCACGACCTCAATGTTAGAGCCTCTGAGGGCTTGGAGAGCATCGTGGTTGGGACCATAGAGCCGCATTCTTTGAATATTGTACTGGTTGTAAAGAGATATCACTTCTTGTGCGGGTGGCAAGTTGTTTGCAACCGTTCCGTAACAAACACCAATTTGTGCACCTGTATCAAATTCAAAGATAAGTTAATGGTGTTGAAAATTTAATTATTCAAGAAAAAGGCCATGCATTTGATTTTTGGAGTTATGATCTACGTTATTTGATTTGCATAAACCATCAACATCGGAATGTCTAACACCAGTCGAAGGTGTGCAAAAAAGGTAGGTACAGTACGTGTATGTACGTATATTTTGATCTTTTTCTTGTGTGTGTGTGTGTGTGTGTGTGTGTGAGAGAGAGAGAGAGAGAGAGAGAGAGAGAGAGAGAGAGACCAGTTGTAGTAAGGGTAGCCATTAGCAGTCCGAGAAGTAGCAGAATGGAAACCCTGGAGGGGCTTTTCGCAACTAAATGGGACTTAGCCATTGTGGAAAGGAGCAAAAGGGAAGAAAAATGAATGAAACTGATTATAAAGTAAGAGGTTGCCTCTACAACTTCTGTGGTGCCCTAATTCTCTATATATAATCCATTCAGAGACTCATCAGAAGAACCATAGACGTACCTACCTTAGTCACGGGTCCATGCATGTGATTCCATGGAAATTAAGTGATTTCACAGGATAACAATATTTATTACAACTTGCATATATATATATATGTGTGTGTGTGTGTGTGTATTCAGTTAGAATATTACTTCAAAAATAAATATAATTACTGCTACTTGTTAACTTATTGGAGTATACTTGCACCATGGACTTGTGGATTGAATTTACAGCAGCCTCCTTCCCGAGGATCCTGTAACAAATTTTAGCGAGTTTTTTGTAAAATTCTTTTTAAGTTTAGTATTTCATTATCCAAAAATTATGCTACTCGATAAATGTATTTTATACAGTATTTAGTTAATTACTAATAAAGTGAAATATACGACAATATCAACAGTATCATGGATTCATAATTTCCTGGTCCTTATAAATATACTTTGAACAATTTCCATGGACAATTCAAATTGGAAGTCTAATTTCAATTCCGCGTTGCCGTCTTGTTTTGGCACTTGGACACGAATAAGCCTAACAAATCCAAGAAGTTATAATTATATCAAAATTATGGTCAAGTCCAACGTGCATATTTTTTCTCTAGGGGCCAGCTTAATTAGAGTAAATTATAGCAATGGTCCCTTAATTTTAATTAAATTGGAGCAGTGGTCCCTCAACTAAAAATTCTTTACCATTGGTCCCTCAAAACTTATCAAAATGTGTAGCTATGGTCATTTTCATCAACTTCGTCAAAATTTTGTCAAAATGAGTTGTGTTTGAAGGACCATTGCTACAATTTGTGTCCCGCAACTCATCAAAACGTGTAACTATGGTCATTTTCATCAACTTCGTCAGAATTTTATCAAATCAAGTTATGTTGGAAGGACCATTGCTACAATTAGGTTAAAGTTGAGGGACCATTACTCGAATTGGGTTAAAGTTAAGGGACCATTTCTCCAGTTAGATTAAAGTTGAGGGACTAATGGTAATGAATTTTTAGTTGAGGGGTCATAGTTGCACGTTTTGATGAGTTGAGAGACCAATAGTAATAGATTTTTAGTTGATGGACCATTGCTCCAATTGAGTTAAAGTTAAGGGACCATTGCTACAATTTACTCTAAATAGGATTTAAGGATAAAATTAAAATTATCAAAAAGAAAAGTCCGGCTACAATTCTACGTCTCACTAGTGTTTTATAAAAAAATTATCTATTGCAAAGATCCATTAGAACCCTATTTAGAATGTCTAACTGTTAATTTTTCAGACTACTCACTGGCATGTAACAAGGAAAAACAAACACTGAATGATAAAATCATATAATTTATGAGGAATTTTAAGAATGCCTTTTAGTGAAAGCTCGTTTAGTCAGTTTGTCTATTTTTCGCATCAATCTATTTTCTTTTCTTTTCACAGCAACAAGCATTAATTAAGCACGACTTGCTCTCATCTCCAAGTCAGCAGTCAAATCAAAGTACCCAGGTTCAAGTCCAACTCCGAAGCTAGTGGTTATATTCAACTCCTTCATGACCTTGACAGGAATGAATATATATACTTCTCGTACGTTTTCTAGATGAATTTAGTTAGGGGCAGCCTTAATCATTTATTAGAGAAGGGATATTCATAGTTGTCGTCATTAGTATGTGGTATTTTTTATTTTTTTTTAACAAACGATATTATTTACATTAAGGATAAGAGGTTGAACTTAATTTCACAATAGGCTAGCAATAATAGCAGAGTCAAGAATTTTTTGGGAAAAGGGCGAATTTAAAAGGGTACAACGTAAAAAAAAAGGCAACAACCAAATCTTTTTACATAGTAATATCGTCCATAATCTATCAATACAAATAATGGGAAGGAGGATTACTCAAAATATTCGAATGAGAATTATCGGAATATTCGAAGGAGAACTATCAGAATATTCGAAGGAGGACTACCCGGAATATTTGAATGAGGATTTAAGCATTGTTTCTTATTATATCGTTCCATTATGTAACTGTATAGTGTGAAAAAAATTACACTCTTAATCCTAGAGTAAAATATATTATATAACTACTAAATAATCAAGAAACAAATTCAATCAATATTAATAATTAATTAATCAATAATCAAGAATTCAATTTTTACTCTAAAAACAACAATTTGTTGCAGTCCTATTAGATTAGGAATGTGATTGTGTAAATCCTAGTAGATATGGGGAATGTATCTTATATTCCTATTAGGAGTAAATTACCTATTAAATGTTGTAATCCTAAGGGGAAATGTTTTTACCTTCCTTACTATTATAAATAAAGGCACAATGGGGTGGAATAACACACACCCACAATTACACATCTCTCTCTTCTCTCTACTATTGCCGCACGCCCCCTCTCTCTCTGGCCTCCATAATTGTTCAGTAAATTATGCATACAACACGCTCTTGACGCTGTGCTAAAGAGACTTTGATCTTCAATATGGGGAGTATTACATTTTAATCATTCTTTTTATGATTAATTTATTATTTTATTGAATTGATCTACATGCTATTGATTCAATTGAATTTTTCTTTATTGAACGTGATACAACGCATTGGAGATGAAATTCCGACTTTCAAAGAATGATCTTCTACAATAAAATAAGATATTTGAAACGACCTTGAAACATGAAAACATTCCCCACAACGCATTATATATGTTTTATATATTTGTCAATATATATATTTGTTTCATTCATTACGCAATTATGCTATGTGGAATTTGTGAGTCAAATAATCTAAATAAAATAGAAGCATAATGTTTTTTGGGTTCTGAAAACCCTAAAATCTGTTAAAAGCAGAAGCGAAAAAAAAAAGAAAAAAAAAGAAAAAATTGGTTGAGTAACGGCAGTGGCGGAGCTAGAATTTTCGGTGAGGAGAGGCCTCTCATAAAGGTTTTTTTTTAAATTTTTTTTAAGCGGATGGTATTTACAAAGCTAATATAATATATATATATATATCAAAATCAAATGTTCAAAACAACATATGCACATATAATATTACATACAAAAAATTATAATTATCCTTGACGACTATTCAACTCAATGAGATAAATAAAAACTTTACGAACCATAAATCTCATGTAATATGTAGAATAAAGCAGAAACAACAGAGAAACAAAGAAATTTAAAACTTATTTGTTTAATAGATTTCAAATTTAGGATTAAAATGTATGAGATATCAAAAAGAAAAGGGGAATTTTTTTAATTTTCATAATTAAAATTGAATGTTTTCTATTTAAAGAAAACCGAAATATTACTTTGATTTTAAATGCTATTAATTTGTGTTAAGGAGATAGATAAAATATTAAAGCTAATTGGGAGATGGGGTTATGCTTGAAACTTGGAAAGCAGGACTTGAAGCAATATAAGGATGCATAATTCCCTTTTATATATATATATATATATATATATTTGTTTTTAGAAAGCTAGGATAGGCCCAGGCAACCCCTGGTCCTTAACTCCCTCCGCCAGTGAGTAACGGCCTGAAGCCGCATGGCCAAGCCTGCACTGCTCAGCAACAACCCAACAGCCGACCTTTTTCCTTTTTGGGCCTTATTCTCGCTCGATCCACATCCAAAGGCTGAGATAAGTTTGTCTTCTTTTTTCACAAACCAAAGCCAATTTGGGCTTTCCCTTGTTTTAGTCCGCATGCCAGCATGCCTTGGGCTACTCCTTTCCTCGGCCCGTCACACTGCAGCAAGCATGTAGCTTGCTTTGTTTGTTATTGGGCTGCTCAATGCAGCCAACCCGTGCCCAACATGGGCCTTATTTTTTTATTTTTTTTGTATGACCTGCAGCCAACATTAAATAATATGGGCCTAGACAAATTTTATTATTTTGCTTTTACGATCAACCCCGAATGGTCTCGATCTATTGAATTAATTAAAAGTGACATGCAGTCCATTAATCTGATAATGAATCCAAAATTATTGACCTGAATATCACTTTTGGACATTAACGATTCAATATTTTATTTCCTTTCTTTGAACCGTTGACTCACTTTCGTAATCCCGAAGCGCTCACACTTGAGTTCTCGAATAACCTCAAATCCACTACACTTAGTTGTATATTGCATTCTGTATTCTTGCAGGAACCTCTATTTTATGAACTAAACGTTCATAAACTAAAGGGATGTGCTATCCACACCCCATTTTACTTCTCACACACCCTTTGATAATTTCTGTCCATTGATCTTCTTTAATTCATCCGATCTAATGGCTGAAAATTAAAAAGGTGTGTGAGAAGTAAAATGAGGTGTGTGAATATCACATCCCAAACTAAATTGAACATGTAGTTTTAAATTTAATGCCTTTGAAACCCGAAGTTTTCATAAAACAATACATCCATGAAAACCTGATTTTTTTATGAAAACCATGTCTTAGAACCCGAATATTCTAACTTTGATGCTTATGGATGATTCATTTCCATAGCACCAATCACAATCTTGTTCCCTCCAATTCAGTGGAATGTCGAATTGTCACAAGTTTGATTTTCCTGATTTGGATGTTTTCTATTAGAAACCACTTTATGTGGGGTACAAGACGTGAATCTCCACTTGACTATCAAGAAGCTGAGAAACCATTGAAGCTGGAAAGGAAGAGCTGAATAAGCCTCCGCCATGATCTTCATTCGAACACTTATGCCTAAAGAATTACAAACGGAAGTACCTCCCGAACAAGGATTCCATGGCTCTTTGGCTCGCTCCTACGGACTGTCTAATCATGAAAGACATTGCCTGAAGCACACCATGATTACGTCCATAAATGAGCACAATTCTGAAGTTTATAAATCTGATTGAATTTTGACTGGATAATACTTTTATCGTCTTTCCATGTTTCTAACTCGCCCCTGAAGCAGCAGTGTAGAAAGTGGAAGCTTACCAAATTCTCGGATCTGATTACTACCATAAATGTGAGAGAACGGTATAGACTCAGTTCGGCTGGAGTCTACCGAATGGCTCAACCCAGTTCGGTCAAAGCTTAACCGAATGGTGATGCACTGCTTCGGCAGGAATACACTGAATGGCATACTCTCTTACAATCCAATTTCGAGTTTGTTTTTACA